TTTATTGGAGATAGGAGTCTCACGGTCTCTCCTGCCCGGGCTGGCTTTGCACCGCGATCCTCAGATCTCAGCCTCCTGAGTAGCTAGGATTACAGGCGTGAGCCACCAGCGCCCGGCCAGATCTTTTCTTTAACAAACACAACTTCTGTTAATATCATAAGCCCAGGGAAAAAGTTGACTCCTTTAAAATGAGAAATCCTCTGTCATTCTCTGGGTTATCAATGAGCCAACTAGCCTTTTAGATTATAAGGTTGGCATGTTATCTTTATATTCCCACAAAATGAAAGCAGGGCAACTTTTTCTTCTCTTTCTTTTACTTATTATTATTATCATTATTATTATTATTGTCGGTCTGGGGCTTGAACTCTGTGCCTGGGTGCTGTCCTTCAGCTCTTCAGCTCAAGGCTAGCACTCTACCACTTGAGCCACAGCACCACTTCCGGCTTTTTTAGTTTATGTGGTGCTGAGGAATCAAACCTAGGGCCTCATGCATGTGGGGCATGCACTCTACTACTGAGCCACCTTCCCAGCCCCTACTTATTTATTTTATTTTATTTTTTTGTCGGTCGTGGGCCTTGAACTCTGGGCCTGAGCGCTGTCCCTCAGCTCTTCAGCTAAAGGCTCTCTGTCACTTTTTTTTTTTTTTTTGCTGCTCCAGAGGCTTGAATTCTGGTCTGGGAGCTGTCCCTGAGCCTCTCTGTGCTCAAAGCTAGCACTCTACCACTTGAGCCACAGTGCCACTTCTGGCTTTTTCTGAGTAGTTTATTGGAGATTAGAGTCTAATGGACTTTTCTGCCCTGCTGGCTTTGATGCAATCCTCAGATCTTAGCCTTCTGAGTAGCTAGGATTATAGGCATGAGCCATCTATCTGTACCCAGTTTCTGACACAAATTTTGATTTTAAAAAAGATCCTAATTTTATTCAAAGGAAACCACAAAAGCAAGCAAGGAAGTTTCAGCAGCAGTTCATTCTAGAGTGCCAGGTAAGATCTTCGAAGCACCATTGGCTGCTGTGTGTATATGTAAGTGTGTGTGTGTGTGTGTGTGTGTGTGTGTGTGTGTGTGTGTTGGTCCTGGGGCTTGAACTCAGGTGCTGTCCCCTGAGTTTCGTTTGTTCAAGGCTAGTGCTATATATCATTTGAGCAACAGGTCTACTTCTGGCTTTTTGTTTTTAGGTATTGAAAATAAGCATCTTAAACGCTTTCCTTCCTGGGCTGGATTGGAACTTTGATCCTTAGATCTCAGCCTCCTGAGTAGCTAGGATTACAGATGTGAGCCACTGGTGCCCAGTAGTACATGAGATTATATGTCTGTGTAAATACATTTGTATGTAGGAGTTGGAAAAGGAAGATATTCATAATTGTCCAAAGAGTTCCAGAGAAGTGCAGCACTGAATTGTAGATGGTATAGAAGAGAAAGCCAGAGTTCCTAGGACATCTCCAGGCTTAGCTCAGGGCTGAACCCACAGTAGTCCACAAGTCTCAGATCTAAACAAGCCAGGAATTAAAGACACCATGCACTCAGCTTCTTCTAGGAGATTTGTCAGTAGAAAAGGAAAGGATTTAGTAATTTTCCTGATGATCAACACACATTCTGTCTAGGTCCCCGTGGGCAGCAGGAGACTTGGGTATGATTTTTTTTTTTTTTTTGGGTCCGGTCATGGGGCCTGAACTCTGGGCCTGG